TGTTGTTTGGCGGGCCCGGGCTGGGGATTTGAACCCGCCACCTTAGGTGTATGTGGCTGGCGCCTTAGCCGCTTGAGCCACAGGTGCCGAGCCCAAAGCTCATCTGTTAATGAGTGGGAAGTAGGATCACCTTTCCATATGAAAGGTGGCACTTTTATAGAAGAACCAAGGTTCCCTTTTTCTCTCTTTTTCTTGCTCCTCTATTCACAGTAAAGTGAATGTGTGTTGTTTAACAGAGAACCATAGGAGCAAATGTGTAAGTGCAGACTGCGGACTTGCTCTATGGACATTTCAGCTTTTCTTTGTGTGTTCTTCTAGATTTCCAGTAGTCACATATTTTCTGTATGTTAGTTTCTATTAGCATATGGGTTGTGATAGACTCCTCTTTTTTTTTTTTAACAATTATATCTTGTTGTTACTTTTAAAAATATTCAATTATGTAAAATTTAATCATTTTTGAATGCACAGTTCAGTAGTATTAGGCATATTCATTTAATTGTGCAAACAATCTTCAGAATATTAAAACAACTTCCCAGTCCTCCCATCCCCACCAGCTCCTGGGAGCCACCACTTGACTTCCTGTTACTATGAGTTTGACCCCTCTAGATACCTGACACAAGGGGGAAGCATAACCTATTTGTCTGTCCATGACTGGCTTATTTCACTAAGCATAATGTCTTCAAGTTTCAACCATGTTGTAGCATGGGTTAGAATGTTTAAGTCTGCATAGTATTCTATTGTCTGTATACACCACATTTTGTTTCTCTATTCATCTGTCAGTGAGCCTTTGGGCTGTTTTTACCCTTTGGGTATTGAGAATAATGTTGTGGGAACATGAAGGTATACATATTTCTTCCAAACCCTGCTTTCAGTTCTTTTTGATATGCTGTATAACCAGGCAGGTAATTACTGGATCAATTGGTATTTCTATTTTTAATTTTTTGAGTAACTACTATACTGTTTTCCATAGCAGCTACACCATTTTATATTCCCACCAACAATGAATAAGGTTTCTAATTTCTCCATATCCTTACCAATACTTCTTTTTTTTGAGAGGAGACATCCTATCCTAATGGATGTGAGGTGATCTTTACTATTTTTTTTTTTTTTTGAGATGGAGTCTCATTATGTCACCCTCCGTTGAGTGCCATGGCATCATAGCTCACAGAAACCTCAAACTCTTGGGCTTAAATGATTCTCTTGGCTCAGCCTCCCGAGTAGCTGGGACTATAGGTGCTTGTCACAGTGCCCGGCTATTTGTTGTTGTTGTCGTTGTTGTTTTAGCAGGCACAGGCTGGGTTTGAACCTGCCAATCCCACTGTGTGTGGCTGGTGCCCTAACCACTGAGCCACAGGCACTGAGCCAATCTTTAGTATTTTTAATGTGAAATAATTTCAGAAAGGAAAACTATTTTCTTTTTTTTTTCACTTTTTTTTTTCTGTTTTCTTTGAAAACTATTTTCTTTAGATTAGAGGGCAATCATTATAACATACCATTGTGATATTCAAGTGAAATGAAAATGCATGAAAGTTCTCCTTAAAAATGAGATTTCACAAGATATACTTTGGTAAAAGTCATCTGGGCTTTTGAATAAATTTACTAGTATTCATTTTTATTCAAATAATTTTGCTACTTTTATTAATGATCTTATGTGAACACCTTCAGTATTTCCATATTAGATATAGACTTACAATAGATGGAGAAAGCATCGTTCCTGCCCTCCAGGGAATTATCTATGATTGAAACTCACATATGTACACATTAAATAAATGAAAGAAGGTGTTTTAAAGTAAGTAGATGTTGCTGGGTGCAATAGTCCCAGCTACTGTGGAGGCTGAGGCCAAAGGATCACCTGAGTTCTGAAGCTTGACAACAGGCTGAGGAACATAAGGAAACCTCACCTCTAAATAAATAAACAAATAAGTAAGTAAGAAAGTGGCTACATGAAAATTGGGAGCCAAAGGAAATCTCTTTTTATTAAATGAAAACATTTGTAGGGAACCTTTTCCCCTCAGACTAGCTTGCACCTTCTGTTTCCCTACAGAAGTAAGGGTTTTGGTTTAGTAGAATCAATTCTGATGTTTGAATGTCCATTCTGGACAGCATGGACCAATAGATACTACCAGAGAGTGCGGCCTTTGTATATCAAGAGGTTCAGAGAAGGACCATTGGATTTTTCTCTATTTGAGCAGGCTCTTTACCCTTCTTCCCCCCAGTTCATTTTGTCTCTCCATTGGTTGGAGGGGGAAAATAGATGAGAAATACATGCACCAGACTGTTCTTGTAAATGCAGAGGATGTTTAGAAAAGCAAGTCCTTTTCCTCCACCCGTTACTTTTTTTTCTAATGACATATCGAGATGATGGGCTTTAGAGATATTTAAGCAGGGCTGGGGAAGCTGAAGTAGACAAGCAGAGAGACAAGACATGCCATCCTCACCAACAGTCCTCTCTCTAGGTGACAGGGTTAGTTTATTTTCTGAAGATCCTCTTTGCCAGATGTTGCATATGAAATTTGTAATGACTTCTTCCAGGACTGTTATTTTAGGCAAGAAGATTGTCTTTCCCCTTTCTCCTGCCACCTTGAATTATTAGGACCTTAGTAAGCTTCTATCCTTCAGAGTGAGGGAGGGAGTCCATAATCTGAAAATGGAGTAAAGTTAAATGCCGTCTTCTCCCCAACCCCCATAACTGAGTGTAGATGTGTTTTTCTTCTCCCATCTTTGGAGTATGTCTAAAGTACAAGATGATAGAGGAGACAACTGATCCTCCACTTTGTCCGTATGATTAAAGGCTGCTAACGATAGAAAGGGAAAAACTCTGGAGACAAGTACTTGGTAGTGACCCTGGAGGCAGCATTTGGTATTAATAGTCCCCAGAGGGTTTCATTTGAAATCTTACGGCAGCCGGTAAGCAGAAGTTGGTGCAGCAGTTCCACATTGACTATTAGTTGCAGTGAATTTGCTTGGTGAAAATATATGGCAAATGTAATCAGAGTTATGTCAAAGGACAAGTGTTACTGACTTTAGGCTTTTCACTTTCTACATCTATTCAAAGTTTTCTCTTGGAGGCATGTCAACTGGTTGCTAAGTTCACTGTAGATACTTTTGTAGGCTGGGCTAAAAATCCCTTTCTCCTCAGGCTGCCCAACATTTCATTACTGTGTTCAGCAGATCTTTTGTGATAAAATTGTGCTTTGGCAACTTTATCATGTAATTTTCTTTGAATGTAAAACAGAGACTCTGTGTTGAAAGGTTCATCTGAGAACTCATTTATGAGATTGAAAACCATGACAAAGCATTCATATTTTAAGGGAGAATAATCATCTGGCAGATCATGGTCTATAGTCTGAGGAAATAATGGTTTTGCTTTCTAAGGTTTTGGAAGAATGTGGTATTTTTGAACCCATTTGCCCTATCCCAGGCTTGAGAGCTACATACAAATTAAGCGTGATTTTACTAGTCTTTGAACTTTCTACAATATTGTGTTTGTTCCTCAGCAAAATCATCATTCACAATGATTCACATGATTCACAAATCATCATCATCAGAATGTTGTCTTAACATAAAGTGTCAATAAAATTTTACCGAAAAACCAAAGCGTTACTAAAAACTAGCAACCTCTGACTTTGGTTGTAAGCCCTTAAAGATATACAGCTGCTTCAGTGTATATGTCAACAAATGTCTGTGATTAGAAGCATGGATAGAATATTTTTGATAGAAAAACGATCTTAAGTAATAGAACATGCAGTGTTCTACACGACATTGTACATAACCCTACATTCTACAAATGAAATGACCTCTCAGAGTTTGAAAGTTAGAGATGAATGTCTGTGGTTTTCAGCTCCGAGAGGTAAAGTGACCCTTTTTTACTTGGCTCAGTAGCACCCTTGACCTCCCCTAGACAAGCAGTTTACCAAGTAAAATACCAGCATGTGTTAAGGGTGAGTTGTGAGGTTTGGACCAAATGCAGGGACTCCCAGGGCCTCATTAGTTTCTTTTCAGGCCCCACCCCCAGCCTAAAATGTGTAAATTATCAGTCTGTCTCAGTGCATATAAAAAAAAAAAATTCAAAAGTGGTAAATGCAGAATGGCTACCTTCGTCAGATCGATGTCACGTGTGATGTGGGTCCTTCTGTTCACTACGTGTTTGCTGTGGGCTGTTGAAGGCAAAGAGCCATTTCAAAAGGGAAAAAAGTGGTGAAAGAAGATCTTTTTCATTACCCTCAAGTGGTTAGAAGTTTGTGGGGATTTTAGGTGCCTTTCACGTACTTTGGAACCATTTTGTCTAATTTTATGATGTAATTTCCCCCCAAAAGAACATAACCTGAGAGAATTGATAAGTTGTAAACATAATGATCTGGAGAGGGTATTCTACTTCCTGAATTTTTAATGGGGACCCAGCCATCTGCTTCTCCATATGGAAGTGTTATCCTCCTCTGCGTCGGAGCCAACACAGAAGCCAAAACAACAGGAGGAGGCAGCCGCCTCGTTCCTCCCGGCTTTACCTTTTATAGATTTAACAAAGCTCGTACTTATTTAGGGTTCAGACATCCTGTTGTATCTAAGGTCGTAAAACAGAGAGGGACCACCTGAAGAATTTTTTGTATTGACTACAGTAAATCCAGCATCCTTTTAGTTGAAAAATAAATTTGTTGTATTATATTTAGTGCGGCATAACAAAATGGTACGGATATTTTCCTTGTTTTTAAATGATCCCTCTGAAGACTCATAGCTGTCCTTCCTTTTTATTAGGATTTTTAAAGATAATTTTCTTTGCGTGTCTGGTTTTTGTTTTAAGACTTTCATGACTTCTCTGTGGATGATGACTGCTTAGTAAAGTTACTGAAAGGATGCTGCCTCAAGAACTTACAACGGCCCTTGCAAGCCGAACTGTGTTTCAATCATGTCATAGAAAGGTAAGGACAAACGGTAAAACCACCCCCAGGGCCCATGGTTTCTGGGGAATTGCTCTGAGAAAGCCATGTACCAAGCTTTTCTCTCCCACTGTTGAATTTTTACTTGGCATTACCAGAAAGAGAATCCAATGGCATTTCCTTTGTTACTTGTAAAGGAAATTATGGTCTAGGTTAGAGCATGGCTTTGTGCACTTCTACTTAGTGTTTAAAGATGATTCACAAAACTAAACATAAGGCCTGGCTGGCTAATAGGTGTCTACTCAAACTCTGGCAGCATCATACTGAACCTCTGATATTCTTTTAAATTATACATGTTGTTGCTTGTCTATTCATTTATTCCATAGATCTCTGAGCATCCTTTTTATGTACCAGACACTGGGCTGGCTTCTAGGGACTCAGAGTTGAGTAAACAGAATTGCCATCACTGTGATTATAATTTGGCGGGAAAGGCAGACATGTGCCAGACACTGTAACAACTTCTCTGTTGGCAAAGGGTATTTCTTCTAGGTAATAATTGAGGTTTTTTTCCCCCCTTCTAATAGCATTGGTGTTGATGTCCAGTTCCTTTAGTAGCCATAAGGTTGAATCAAGGTTCTGATGCCTGCTCTCTTCTCTGTATGTCAATGACAATTATCCTCAGGGCCAGATAAGTAACTTTGCTGAATGAGGCCTGCTGAGCAGTAGCAAGACTAGGGTTTGGGGCGCACCAGAGGTTAGGGAAATGGAGTATGCAGGTGCGTTTCAGCTCTAATTGATTATTGCTGCATACAGGGTGGGCCCAAAAGCAATAATCCCTACTATTTTTAATGAAAAACTTGGAATCTGAATATTACAGAAAATTGCATGATTTTTAAATGTTGGCTCAAATTTTTTTACTCTGCCAGCCACAAAGGTCACAGCTGTAGATGGCCAGTTGACATCCCGTATTGTATTACATAGCATGTACTTTCCCTTCTAAGTCACCTGATCCCCTTCTTCTTGACAATGTTAATGGGAATATAGGAGGACGGGTACCTGTATAAGAAGAAAAAGACAATATCTCTTTCTCAATATAGTGTATCTAATAAATGTGTTAAGGAAGTTTCTATGGAGTTATGTTTTATTGGTGTTTTTTGTAAGGATTGGAAGGGTAGTTAAAAGGATGACCCATTGTGCTGCTTTTATACTTATTGCGTCTCATAGTGAATTGTTGGCTCATGTGTTTTGTAATTTTGGATTGTGAGCTCACCTTTGGTAGGGTTTTATCTTTGAAGACAGAGGGAAGAGGAGACTCTCTAAAGTGATTTTGCATTTTTGCCAGGTGCCCTTTCATGTTAATTTCATCGTGTACCAGTTCTTGGATCATTTGGGCCATGCAAATTGAATTTCAAATTCATGTTGGGGCAGGCCTGTAGGTTATTAATTTCCCAAGGATTTTTTTTTCTTCCCACCAAAAGTGGTGGCCAAGGAGACAACAGTCCTTATCTTCTTCCTTTGCCTAGTGAGTGGGTTTTGTTTATCTTTACTTTTAGGATGCCAGGTTTTTGTTTTTTCTTTTTTGAGACAGAGTCTCACTATATCACCCTTTGTAGGGTGCTGTGGCACCACAGCTCACAGCAACCTCCAACTCTTGGGCTTAAGTGATTCTCTTGCCTCAGCCTCCCAAGTAGCTGGGACTACAGGTGCCCACCACAACACCTGGCTATTTTTTGTTGCAGTTGTCATTATTTAGCTGTCCTGGGCTGGGTTTGAACCCCACACTTTGGGTGTATGTGGCCAGCGTCCTACCCAATGAGCTACAAGTGCCACCCAGGATGCCAGTTTTAAATAGAGGTCTTAGCTCAGTTCCCTGCTTCCTGTGGACCCAAGGCTTCATCTCTGGCGTGGACATTGAGACATAAAGCCCTGGATGACTCAGATGGAAGCAGATCCTAGGACTCATTCTGCATCATCCCACATATGGAGACTTCTGCTTTTTTAGTTCCAGTTCTGTTTTTGGCACCTGGGAGTTTTTTCTTATGTTCTGGTCTGAGCTAAGCTGCACATTTGAAATGGTGTTACTTATGTATTTTTTAGTGCTTTTAGATGTTTTGCAGCCAGAAGAGTTTTCATAATGGTGCTGAAAATGGAAGATCTTTAAGCATTAAAGTCTTATAATGCTTAAAGACATTTTAAGTCTTAAGATTTTAAAATACAAAAAGAGTTGAACCTTACAGCTTATTTCTAAATGGAGTCATTTCTTGAACATATTCACGTTTAGAAAGATGATCTTGTCATTTTCAAGATTAATGTTTAAAGATCTCTGCGCGTTCATCTCTCCAAGGAATAGTAATCAATCATCAACCCTGAATTTACATCGAGTGGAAGATTTATATATTAAAAGCACATTTTTATCATCATAGTTTAATGATAGTTCTGTAACTGTGCAATGGCAGCTTCCCTTTGATAACAGGCTTAGTGTTGCATCTGTTTTCTGAGGAATAGGGAATAATATATATGTTGGAAAAAATGTTTCTTATTCTATTGAGAATCGCTTTTCCTTTACTCTTTCAGTGAAAAGCTACTGAAGTATGATCACTACCTAGTGCCCTTCACTCTGTTTGAGTTGGCATTTTTGTATAAAAGCCAAGGGGAAATTGACAAAGCTATAAAGGTCCTTGAAACTGCAAGGTAAGTGATGAAATCAGCTTTTCCATGACTGCTATGGAGCCAAGATTATCTATATTGTTCTAACAACATTATAGACTTAAAAATTAATTAATACCAAGTTAGTAACAATGCTACTTTTGCTAACTTAGGGTTGGCTTAGGTTTGTGACTTTTGCTGTAACTGTGTTATTTCGAATCCGCTTACTGCCTTACTCTGTAACTATTCACAGATGTGGTTGTGGACATTGATCAGAGAGATTTCTAACTTATTCTATTTTATATCAGGGGTTGGCAGACTTATCTGTAAATGGCCAGATAGTATTTTTGGCTTTATAGCATAAGGTCTCCATTGCAACTACTCAATTATATCACAGCTATAGACGATATTATGCAAATAAATAGATGTATCTAGATTTGGCCCTTGGGTCATAATTTGCTGACCTTTGGTGTATTCAACCACATCTGTCATTTCCTTGAAGAGGTCTAATCTCACGAAGCTCTGTGATCGTCTCCCAACTTTCTCTTCTTTCATCTCCCTTCGGAGTTTCAAAGTATTTTAGTAAAGGATGACTGTAAATTGGCAATATTTCTATTCATGTAGCTGGAGGAAGATATTAAATAAACAAGAGAAATATGTGTTTTGCTGAGATTTACAATATGATGTGGGGTGCCTAGGTATTACTTTACATTGGGTGGATTCTAGAAGACTTAAGGAAGCGATATTGTAATTGAGATTTTCATAATTAACACAAGTCCTGAAAAAGTCAGTCACCAGGAGCCACCAGCTGGGTAGGGAGTATTCTGACAAAAGCTACTGCTAAGGAACCTTCAGACTGTTGGGTTGAGCCACTATGTTGATGCTGATGCTTTCTACTGAGCTGGAGGATAGTTAGAGCAGGTTTGCGGAGAGAAGCATACTTCTGTTTGGACCATGATTTCTTGAGATGGCTGTTAGGTAGATGGCAAGTTGGCAGTCAAATATATGAGCTTGGAATTCATTGGTAATGTCAAGGATGGATGTAGAGATTTTTTTTTTTTTTTTTTTTGAGACAGAGCCTCAAGCTGTCCCCCTGGGTAGAGTGCTGTGGCATTACAGCTCACAGCAACCTCCAACTCCTG